GTCCCTCTTTCCCCCCTCCTCTATATGTCAGTACCAAAGAGCTTCAGTTTTCCTTCAGGCATCTCCAGGCTAAGTAGAAGTGACAGGTGTCATTTTATTTTTGTTGCATAGTCATGATTGCTCATATCAGATGTGCTACCTTACCATCTGCCTGGGAAAAGACATAAGCATTTAGATTCAGCGCGTTCTTCTATAATGAGGCCAAGTATGTAAACTTGCAAGAGTGTAAGCATATCCCAAAGCTGACTTGATACCTTTTTTTTACTGGTTATGAAGAATCTAATGAACATTTAATGGCGTTCTAACTGCCTCTGCTTATCTTCTACCTCATAGCAAAGTAGCAACTAAGTGCACTTTTTTGTAAAAGGTTCCTGCTTATGACTTGGATTTTTTGTTTTATTCAGGAAGAAAAGTCTGTTTAAAAATGTTAAAATAGATAAAATAGAATCATTAAATTTTCCCAATTTTAGAGGAGGTCTGCTAGAGAGAAGGGGCTTCACCCCCCTCCACCCAAAATCATGTAACCGCATTCTCTTCATTTTTTCCTTAACCTTATTCATGCATTACTTCTGTCAAACTACCCAAAATTGCTGTCAGTGGAGCAGTGGTTAGGCAGGTGGTCACCCAGAACTATTGTTATGCAAAGCCGTGTTTGTTTTACTGTTACCTTGTTTGTTAACCCACTTGTTTGTCTTGCCATAGACCAAGATGGTCAGTTCTCTGTAGAAAGGACTCTTTAATAGTAGTTCATCACTTAGCACAAAGGACCTTGATCTGCTGATTAGAACTATGGTGCTCCAAATGTGTATTACCCTGGGGGATCTGTCTGTCTGCAGTCACTATTATTATGAAAGCTCATGAAGACGTACTTGAGCTAGCTTTTAAACTAGTCGGTGTGAGTACTTCTTGCAGTCCAGGTATCAGGAAACTCAGCAAAAACCCTTCCAAGAAGCTGGGAAAATGCTTAGCTGGCCCCTGAACTGTGTGTTGGTGCAGTTACATTGCTACCAGCACCCAAAGCGGGAAATTTAAAGCTGGCTTAAATGTGTACGTGAGAAGCAGCAACTACTGTTGAAACATGCCCTTCAAGTAGCTGAATGTGCTGAAAAGGAAAACTCTGATTTTAAGACTAGCTAGAAAGAAATATGTTCACATAACTCCTTGCAAGTCAGTAACGGGAAACCATACAGAGGAAACAGTCTCTACAAACCTTGTCAGTTTGGGAGGCAAGGGTGGGTGACAACAGGGCATCTCCATCAGGCATTACCCCCAGCTGTCCAAACATGATGCTAGTTTCCTCCCCGTAAGATTATTCAGCCACAGAGATACAGAGTGGAATTTTGTCTTCCTGGTGACTTGATAAAGGAGCAGGAATAGCATACAAGTGCCAGAGATGCATTTCTCAGGAATGAAATGTTTGCAGGGATGGATGCTGTGGCTTCCAAGAAAGGAGGCAAAGGGAGGCAGAGGACATTTATTTATTTTTTAATTTGGGGGGCATTAAGGTGGTCCCTGCTTTCTGGTAAGTCTCAGGAATATTCTCTTTGGCAGTATCTTGCAAGAGAATTTAGTGTTGAAGTATGAGAGTCAGGAGGAGTAAGCTTAGAAAAAGAGATGCTGGGACCTACTTGAACAGCTGTGAACCTGTGTGGCTACCCAATGTGGATAGGTTTCGCAGCAGCATACCTCTATGTTTGTGTGTTGTCCCTGCAGGTAGGTTGTGCGACAAGTACTGTCATTATTGTACTGCACTGTATACCCTCTGTCTCTTGACCTCGCTCAAGGGTGTTTATCCAGGTCTTGACAGCAGTAATTATATCCCACAAGAAATGGAAGTCCTGTGTGCTTTTCCTTTTTAGAAGAAAAATTCTGAAGACTGAATTCTTATAAGGAAGTATGTATGGCCCCTCTAATTACACTCTAGTTCAGCAGGATGGAATAGTGCAGCAATCTTCTCCCAGTGACACTCTCCCAATGTTTTACTTAAACGTTCAAAAACATTTCTGAGCAATTACTGAGGGTAAGATCTAGATTTTAAAACACGTGAGAAAACAAAGGCTCAGTGAAGCAGACTTGGACTTAAGTGCCAGGTTTAGAATTTTATTTTTATTGTCTAAGGTAGTATAAAAGTGATATTGTAGCTGTGGTGGTCCAGACGTTATTCAGAATGTCTTGCATTTGAAAGCTTGTCTGACTTTATTCCAACTCCATAGTTGATCCAATAAAAGATATCACACTAAGAAGTCCTTGCCTTTTGCATCTTTCTTGTCTAACATTGTGGGATCCTACCCTTTTGATTTGTTTATTTTCACTGTTATTTCAAAGGAGGGAAGATTTCAACCTCTCATTGATGTCCTTTGAAATTCAACAAGCTTGAAATTCCTCATGAGCCCTGGCTTTACCCTTCATCACAACCCCCTCTGGAAATATCGCCCTTGGTATTTGCTGCGGATGGAACTATTTGCATTGCCAGTTTTTCTCCTCTATTTCCTGCATTTTTCATAAAAAAAGCTTTCTGATTTTGTAATCAAGAAAACTGGTGTTTTTGTCCTCTCACTGCTTGCTTAATATATCTTTATTATTATTAAAGACAGACACACTGCACTTGTAGAGGTCAGACATACTACAAAAGGTTTAATTTTATACTTGGTACAAAGAGGGGAAATGATTGAACTGGAATGGAATGTCAAAACTAGACTGGTTGCAGTAAAAAAATAAAAAATCACCACTGCTAGTTCTGCTAAAGTAGATAGCTGAATGTGTATGACTGTTAGTGTGACTACAGAATCTTGCCAGTAAAATGATTGTGTCTGAATATTTTTATTCAAAAAGAATGTAACTGAAAATGAGCCAGATAATTTCTTGTGCTTCAAGACACGATGCCTTTTGTCTATTATATGTAAATTCAGTGCTGTATTTCTTAACTGCTAGAGTTCAGTTTTGACCAGCTATTTTTAACAAATGAAAAAGTAAAGTACAGAAAACAATTTATGTTTGTATTTTATCACTTTCTGTGTGACAAAATACTGCAATAAGTTACATTGCAATGAAACATTGCAAGGGAAGTATATCCACAGTGGTATTTGCAACAAGTAAATTTAGTCGTATTCCAAACAAAAAAAAGGTAACAGGTTACATTTTAACTTTATCTTGTATTTCAAATTTAAAAAAATTTTTAAATTATTTATATTCCCGTAATGTCTCAAAACCTCACGTGAGGTTGGCACTCTTTTACCTTCAGCACTGGGTACAGATACACTAGGGACAGTCCCTTCCCTGAACAGGAGACAGTCTCAATAGAAATGGTGGGGAGGGAACAGGTCTTGTGGTCAGTCGAGGGCAGAGTAGAGAAAAGAACTCTTAAACCTTCTGAATCCTAGTCGAGTGCAGTATTCACTGGTCCATGCTATCTGAAGCCTATTCATATGTTTCCACAGTATCTTTTAAAATATTTGTTGCCATAATGCCTTGCAAGCCTGTGTACTTTTGTAAGCAAATATGGCACGCTCTTTTCTTCTTCTTCTCCCCATCTTCTCCAAGTTCCCCTTTTGTACCACAGTTCTGATAGCAGGGGCAGAGCAAAAACTGTCAGAAGTATGTGATCCTGATTTTATTCTATCCAGCCCATATCTACATGAGACGCTGACTGTGCAGTCATTGTATAAACAAGTACTAAGTGACTGTGCAGTAACCGAACTTACTGCGCATTAGCATCATCGAATGCCTTTTAGGTGATGCTGACTGCGCAGTAGTAACAAGCTACTGCGCAGTCAGCATCCCCTAAAAACCATTCGATGATGCTACTGCGCAGCTTGTTACTACTGCGCAGTAGCATTGCATCACGTTCCCTGCCATGTGACACTACAGCTCAGTAGTAACAAGCTAATGTGCAATCGGTGTCTCATGTTGATGTGGCCTCCTCGTGCTAATGCTGCGCATATTGATTAGCTACTGTGTTGGGAAGAAGGAAGGGTCAAAAGTAGACTGGTTGCGATAGAGATTCACAAAGGCAAGAGACAGCCTTTTGTAGTAGGTCTAAGTTTGCATCTTTTACTACTTGTATTTTCAGGAGATAAGCAGTATAGAGAGACAAGCCCCTCAGCCCATTTGTTTGGGGTTTGTGGGGGTTTGGAAGTAGGGAGCGAGTGCTTGGCTTTGCTTTTTAGCAGTCGTTCTCTTGCTTTTTCTTCTCCCAGCTGCTGTCCAAACAGTAAATATTACACGAGTCATTTTTGTGAAATATTTTAGAGTTAAAATGTTTGTCAACTAAGGCCTCATAACAGATGATGATGCAAGAGACTGAGATGCAAGTCTGTGCAGGTTCTCTAGGTGTATCTGTTCCTGAGCATTCAAGATTACTCAAAGACAAACGAATGATATTCGCGCTCTCAAATGTCAAAAGGTTTTGATGTTTATTGCTGATTTAATGTTCTGCTTGGATGATGTAAACTTGTTGAACTTTTTAATATTGCCGTGAACTTAGCGTGCACTCACTAACTAGTGACTGGCTGTACTGGTTTAAGTGTAAAATAGTGACTTATGAGGCAAAAGCAAGTTTTTGATATTGCCATTTTTTGTGTGAAGCTACAATACATTTTATCACATTGTATGTATGTTGATTTTTACACTTGATATGGCTTAGCAATATCAGTCAACTTCTTAGATTTTCATTCTTGAAACAACCATAATGTGGAGATGTAATTCAGGACAGTTCATCCATATTGAGCAGAAATCTGACCCCTCCCAAAAAGAAAAAGCTGCATTTTGTTTTGTAATGTGTCCTAATACATTAAAAAAAAAAATTTCTGTAGTGACATTTAACGTTATTTTAAATACCTAGCTAAATATTGCTTGATTGTGAAGCATTATAAATTGATTCTCATTGATCCAACTAAGTTGTCAAGAAACACTCTCATTTATAACCTCAGGGCTTGGTGCTGGAAAAAAGATGCACAGACATCGACCCAAACTCACTCTGAGGTTTGTTTTTTTTCCTCCAGGTTCTTGGTCGATGTTTCTTGACAGTGATGCAGGTTCACTTCCAGTTCTTGTCCCAAGCCTTGCAGAAGGTCCAGCCAGTGGCACACTCTTGTTTTGCTGAAGCTGTTTCCCAAGAAAGAAAGAATGCGAGTGGGGCTGGGACCTCCAGTTTGAGCCCTACAACTGAGCTAGAGGATGCAGTACGATCATGGAGAGGAGCAGCAGAGGTATGGGCATCTTTTGTTAGTGATGCTGCTTCAACTTCATATTAGTAACGTGCAACTTTGGGATTAGTTGACCTAATAAGGAAAAACTTTCTTAATATTTATTTTGATGGAATACTAAACATGACAGCCAGCCATATTAAAAAATTAAAACCAGTTTTGGTACAATTGCCTAAACCTAAGCTGCTTTTTGTGGTGTTTCAACTGCATATTCTTACCATATTTTCTTGACTACAACATACCCCCAAATAAAACATGCCCCTTTATTTTTGGAAGTCAGAATATGTAAGGGGGGGGGGGGG